CTCAATTTCTAGACTAGTTGCTATAAACTCCATATCTCCCTGCATGTCCAAAGAAAATGAAATAATAGAATTGTTGAAAGTACATGTTAAAAAGAAAATGATAACTAGGCTAGCTGTCAGATGATAGAAGTTGGATGCTGAATTTTCAAATTAATATTTGTGCCACTTCAAGTAAGATTCCGACTCAATGACATCTTTACAATAAAAATAATAATTGTAGCAATAATAATGACAATAAGACTAAACTGCATTGAGAATTTACTATATATACCAGACACCTGGATAAATTATGTGAAGATATTATTATCTTAATTCATCCTTAGAATTCCTATGAAATACTTACTAATATAAAGATTAAAAAATTAACAACTAATACTTAAATTGCAATTTGTGCTCAGCACGTGCTTTTAAGCATTTCACTTATGTTTCATTTCATTTTACTTGCCAATGTCAGGGGGATTAGACAAAATAGTCATGAGAAACATTGTACAATATACACCAGAATACAGGAGTTAGATAAATAATTATGTCAGTTTGATCTAATTAAATTGCACGCTGGTGTGTAATATGGGATTGGTGATGCTATTTTTTATGGCCAGTTATACTGTGTACTTTTTTATTTTAAAATTTAAGCATGCAGAAATTGTTCTAAATTCTTAAAGTTTCTTGGTCAGGAATATTTTCTTTCTTTCCCCCTTTTGCAGTAATCTATTGTTACTTAATTTTCACTGGTGACAATTTTAGCATGTTTGACATTGCATATTTAGTTTTTACAACTCTTTAATCATTTGTAGCCAGAGAAAAATACTGTTTTACACATCTAATAGTATGAGATAATTGCAGAGAGTCGATGAATTATTTTTACAATCTTGAAACTTATAAAATTTTATTTTAAATATGTTCATAGGCTTAAAAGTCAGTACTATGACATGTCATAAACTTTTCTCTTATATGTAATTTTGATATATTTCACTAAATTAAAAGTACGCATTCATTTCACAAACCTGAGATTAAGAAAATATGTACATTCTAAGATAATTTCCAACTATTGTGAAAAATAATTTAAATAGTGGCATTTTTTCTTTCTTTCTTTCTTTCTTTTTTTCTTGGAGAAGTTTTTGCTATAGGGCACGTGTGCTCACCAGAAAGACAAAGAGAGACAGAGACAGAAAGGGAGAAATCACCACCGAGGAGGGATGGCCATGCCGCAATCCCTTCTCCTCCAGTTTTCTCTCAGGAGATTGGGCACACACGCACATGTGCCCTGCATGAGTTTAAGCCACCAGGTCCAGGACTTGAACCATTGTTGACTACATGGGAGTCCAGTGACATAGCCATTATGGCAACTGCTGGTCATAGAGGCATATTTTCTTAAACTATATAGAATAGTACATTCAAATGGAATATATTTGCCTATTCTGAACCAAATAACATTCTTCATAAAATATTATGGGAAATAAGAAGGATAAGAGAAATATATATGTGAAATTATTTATTGCATGGAACTTTCTTTCATATTTCTAAGTTAGCACTGTTTGGATCCTCCTTTGTATTATTGGTTCTTTAGCACATGTGCATTGGTCAATCACAGCCCTTTGTGGCTAACTCCTGGTGCTTTTCTATCTTTGTCTATTAAAATTGATATTCCTAGTACATTTTTCACACACCCAGATAGCCAGGAACCGTAATTATAACATGCAAAATTTATGCTAAGTTTTTTTTTCTCAAACAAGGACAACAGAGAGCTAGCAGAGAGACATAGGTTCTAATTCAAGTTATGATGGGTCTTTTGTTTTATCACATGTACGGTGAAGAATTAGGACTAGAATTTCTTTTATTCAGCATTCAAACATACCACTATTCAGAGGGTGTTTATTCTGTGCCAGGTACTGTTCTAGGTGGAAGAAAAAAAAAATACTCATTGAACAAAACTGATAATAGAGAAAAATGAGTCTAGGATGGTGTTATTCCCTGTTCTGTAGAAATATTTTAAATCTGCATTTGAATACTTTTATGTGTTTGTATTTATAAATTCACTTAAACATGTTGTTAGAATCACCTGCTTATATAGATAATTTTTCTTTTTAACTTCCTCAAAAAATGGAATCATGGGAACCAGCAGTTAGCCTAATGGCTATGTCATTGGACTTCCCACATAGTCGAGCGCGGTTCGCGTCCTGGACCCGGTGGCTTAAAACTCACACCGGGCGCATGTGCGTGCATGCTCAAGATCCCGAGAGGAGAATGGAGGAGAAGGGATTGCAGCGTGACCATCCCCTCTGGGGGGTGATTTCTCGCTTTCTGTCTCTATGTCTCTCTCTGTCTGTCTGGTGAGCGCATGCGCCCTATAGGGGAAACCTCTCCCCCCCTCAAAAAAAAAAATGGAATCATGTATTTTTCTTTTATAAGTTGCCACACCTAGTAGAATTTCTGGAATACAATGCATGTTAAATAATGATTTGTTGAGTAGATGAATTCATGAATAAATAAATTAATTAATGAAGAAAGGAGAAAAAGAGTAAAAATTTTTAGAGCCAAGATTAAGACTTCCAGTAATCTTTGATTGGGTTGTAATCTCTCTGTGTGTGGAGTTTTCATAGATTTTTGACATTAAAGATATATTCTTTCACCATATTCCCTTGGGAAAGTTGCACTTAGCATTCTAAATATCTTTTTCTCCCCCTAATGTTTAACTAACATTTTCAGAGAGTTTAAAATATCCTTCTGAAGGGCCAGCAGATGGCATAGTGGTTACGTTGCTGGATTCCCACATGACAAACTGTGGTTCGAGTCCTGAACCCAGTGACTTGAAAATCACTCTGGACACATATGTGTGGCCAAGAACCTGAGAGGAGAACAGAGGAGAAAGGATTATGACATGGTCATCGCCTTTAGCAAGGTGATTTCTCACTTTCCTGCTCACTCTCTCTTTCTCCAATGAACACACATGCCTTAAGGCAAAAAAGTTAAAATGTGTGTGTATGTGTGTGTGTGTGTGTGTGTGTGTGTGGGTGTGTGTGTGTACATATGAAAAAGAGGTATGAAGTCCTTATTTATGATTCATCATATTTTTAATTTCAGGTGTTTCTCAGACTCTACCCTCATTGTAAATAACTCATGTTTAAATGCTGTGTGTTTCCCAAAAATCTCTTATAAACTGTCATCTTTTACATGACTAAATGACTTATGATTCAATTTTTCTGCATTCATTGATTATAATCACTTTTTAGCAATATAATATATACATTGAAAGGGCAAATAAATACAATTAGGAATATTTAAAAGTGTAAAACTTAGAAGTGAACTTGAGGAACTTGCTTTGTGAACAAAATAACCAGTATTACAAATAGCCATTCTCTATCTCTTGTGCAATAGAAATTGGAAACTGGTGGCGTACATCCACTTTCTGTGACAAGGTCAATGCTCTGGAGTGCCATGTGGAAGGTCTGAGTTTAGTTCCTGGGTTTGCCTGCTCATCTAGGTGCCTTTGTTCATGTGCCCATGATCGTTGGGAAGGCTGGGAAAGGTTTATACTATGAGATCCTGTTGAAGGTACTTGTCTCTCTTCTATCTCTCCCTCTCTCATGAAATAAACAAACTTTATTAAAAAGTATTCAATAACAAAATGCTCTATAAAAACAAAAAAATGGGACTAGCTGAAAGGAGAATGGAAGAGAAGGGATTGCAGCACGGCTATCTCCCCTGGGGGATAATTTCTTGCTTTCAGTCTCTCCGTCTCTCTGGAGAGCGCATGCACCCTGTAGCAAAAATCTCTCTCTAAAAAAAAAGTATAGGGAACGTCAATTAGCATAATGGCTATGTTGCTGGACTCCCATGTAGTCGACCGCGGTTCGCGTCCCGGACCCGGGGGCTTAAAACTCATGCCAGGCGCATGTGCATGCGTGCCCAAGATCCCAAGAGGAGAATGGAGGAGAATGGATTGTGGCGTGGCCATCCCCTCGAGGGGTGATTTCTCGCTCTCTGTCTCTCTGTCTCTGTCTGTCTGGCGAGTGCACACGCCCTAAAGCAAAAACCTCTCAAAAAAAGAAGTATACAATAACATACTGTTAAATTTTTATTGAAAAATATAATTATATATCTAAATATAGGTTTTTCTTGGTACAGTTTTAGCTTTTCTGTATTTGCAAATCATTAAAGATAAAGGGGAATACAATGCTCTTCTTTATAGCATTATTTAGACTTGGGCCTGAATACTTTTCCTGAAATCCAGACTTCAGTTTTATCTCAGAGTGAAATCAGTAAGTGACCTGGGGATTGACAGGATCATTCACCCAGAACTAAGTTCAAGTATCAAATTTGACTGGCATTACTCATGAAGCAACATGGGGCATTTCTACTTGGTTGGTGCCCATAGAATGGAGTTTGTGTCTGAGGAATATAATCACTTAACAAATATATATACCAAATACCAAAATCCAGAGTCCTTATAGTGTACTTGGGCTTCATTCATATCAGGATGAACAATTTTTTTTTGGGTAATCTAGTTGAAGGATGTGGCAGCAAATGATTCTATGATTCTAGGTATAGACCATACTCACCTTGTCAAATTTTTAGTTCTTGTAATGTGTTGGAATAGGAGCCTTGTGGAAATTTAGTGTATGGTAGATAGTGGTGCCTTGCCTTAGAAAGGAGAACTGACAATGAGTGACATCTAGGGCTTCAATCAATAAAATTTTCATCTTTTTAAAATTATTAATTTATTTTGTCAATATGATTTATATTCATTCACATGTTAAACATTCTATTATTTTTATTCCTTCTGATGTCTCTATGTTTCTATCTTGAATTTTTTTGGTACTGGTAAATTCCACTTTAATATTTTCTGTGCAGGTCCACTGGTGACTTTCTTTGAGTTTTTCTTGGTTATTTTACTATGTGTGAAAATATCTTTATTTCATCTGTAGCTTTGAAGAATGTTTTTTTAATGAGAATAGAAACATAACTTGGTAGTTATTTCTCTTAATAATTTAAAGATTTTTGTGCTTGCTTCAACAGCACATATATTAAAATTGGAGTTATAAAGAGATTAGCATGACTTCTGTGCAAGGATGACATGCAAATTTCTGAAGCATCCATATTTTTCCTAAAAAATGGCTGGTGATAAGTGCCAAGTTACTTATAAGGGATACCCCATCAGACTAACTTCAGAACTCTCAGCAGATCAGATGAGAGTGGGATGACATATTCAAAATTCTGAAAGAAAAAAACATTTGAAGCCAAGCATACTAAACTTCACAAGAACTATCCTGGAAATAAAATCATAACGAGACAAATAAAACCAGGAGGAATTCACCAACACTAGGCCAGCTTTCTGAGAAGTACTTCAGTGACTACTATATCTAGAAATGAATGGAAGTTAACTATGAAAATGCATGAAAGTATAAAACTCACCAGTAGAACAACTATGCAAAGAAGAAAGAGAGATAATTCATTCCCTAACACTGTGAAAAACTTTCAAAATGGTAAAGATAAATAATAACCGATGAAAAAATAACATAACACAAAACAACCAGGACTCAACCACAAAATGGCAGGTGTAAATCATATACATCAATAATACCATTGAATGTAAATGTATTAAACTCCCCAATCAAAAGACAGACTGGATAAAATATATTCAATGAAAAAAAAAAAAAAACCCAGAAGCTCTCTGTGGTACAAAAAAGAAATACATCATCAATAAAGGCACTTACAGATGGAATGTGAAAAGCTGGAAAAAGTCATTCCATGAAAATGGAAACAAACAACCACCAACATCAGGAATTGTCATTCTAATACCAGACAAAATGGATTTCAGTTCTTTGGAGTTTGAAGTAATCTAAAATGTCATCTATTCCAAGTTCCCACCCACTGTAGCAGGATCAGATTGCCATTTGCTCTCAACACATACAGGGACATGAAGCTCAAAGAATGGTTTTGGTTTGTAGTTCTCTCTTATAATCCATCATCACCTTTCTTCCTCCCATGTATAGCTTATGGAAGTGAGATATACACTAATGTACTGTGTCATGTGTAAAAAAAATGATATGGGGCCAGAAGGTGGCATAGTGGTTAAGGTACCAGACTCCCACATGGCTGCCCATGGTTCGAATCCAGGAACCTTTAAAATCCAGGTGGCTTTAAACTCACACCAGGCACATGTATGTGAATGCCCAAAATCCAGGGAGGAGAATGGAAGAAAAGAGACTATAGCGTGGTCATCCCTTCCCCCAGGGGGTGATGTCTTGCTTTCTGTTTCTCTGTCTCTCTGGTGAGTCCACTCCCTATAACAAAAATCTGTGGAAAGAAAAGAAAAGAAAAATGACATGATTTCTAATGCAAACCACTGGACTTTGACCAGTCATTCCCTAGGAGAATGAAGAAGAGAGCTCAGTGAAAGAGAAAGTGAACTGCTTCAAGATTATGTACTGCTCTTTTGTTTATCTTTAGACTTCTTCAGGCAGCAGTTTAGAATGGTTTCAAGATCCAGTGAGACTGTATGAGTACAGTCCATGTACTTATAAAAGATCAAACAAATAAACAAAAAATTTGCCTGAGAAGGTTTCTGTCGATTCATTTAGGAGTCTAGTTTTATTATATAATGTTATAGAGATCAGGATTAAATATCCTTTGAAATTATACTCATATAGATATGGCATGTTTTATTGAATTATACTTCTCAGGGTGAGCAGGTGGTAGGGTGTTTAAGGTGCTGGACTTCCCTATGGCTGAGGCTCAAGTCCTGAACATGGCAACTTGCTTTCTCACTTTCCTTCCTTCAGTCTCTCTGGTGAGCTCATGTGCCCTGTAGCAAATTTTTAAAAAATTATAATTACAAATAAAATTATAACCTAACCTAGTTGAACAGGTGTGGTTTTAAGCTTAAGTTTAGGTTAGTTTTAAAATCTAATATTTTTACTTCTTGGTGTGTTTTCCTTATGATGGCATTTTCATGACTCTGCTTTAAAATATGAGAATGAGGATTACAGATTCTATTTTATTTCTATCCTTCTGGCACAGTTTTAAAACCCTCATAAAATAATCAGGGAAATTGTCTCCATGAACAATTATAAAAGAAGCTATTCAAGCTGAATGCCTCTAAGTGAAGCTTCAAGAATGATGTTAATTTGTTGTAAGATACATTTCTGATGAGAATTATTATAAAGGGAGGAAAAAAACACCAGAATTTTAGAAGCCCTAAAAACTAGAGATACACTCCTATAAAACTTCTTCCTCCTCTCTCTCTCTCCTTTAAATCTTGGAATGAAATACGATGGCAGAAACTCTATTATAATATATATATTTTTTTGAGGTCATGAGCTATGTCTAGCTTATCTTTGTGTCTTTGGTGCTTAATAGATATGACCACATGTTTATTATTTAATAGATGCTCAGTAAATATTTATTGACTGAATGTAGCCCTCATGACCTATAATTATAAAAATATTATTATTAAAGTATTGGTAACATTTCTCTCCTTCTTAGATGAGCTTTTGTCAACAGCTCACTGATAAAATTCAGATTTACATAAGATCATAAATTCTGAAGCAGAATCCCAGGTGCTTTACAAAATTAGCATAATATAGTTCACAAATTCCATTGCAGACTGTGCTTTTGAAATGCAAAGGTATAGCATTAAACTAAGGGGAAGATGCAGCCCTTAGAAGGAATTCGTATGAGCGAATTATTTCCTTCTCACACAAGACAAATGTTTTCCCTTCGCAGACTCTGTATGGTGTGCTTTTTGCAGTTTGTCTAAGTATCGGAAGACCTGGTTTCTAGTTCTGATTATTCTGCATGCTATCTATAAATTAAAAAAATTAGCTCTGAGGCACAGTTTTCATTCAAAAATGTCAATAATAATGCCTGTCGTGATTATCTCACATAGATATGGTAAGGATCAAATAACCAGTGTATGTGAAAATACTTTGAAATATATAAATTGCTGTCAAATTGTGAAGTATTATGATAAGTAAACGTATAAGTTCACTATGAAGTTTAAAATAGAAATAATTTAGTGGAAAAATAGCTAACACTTCTAAATTCATTTGATAAAAAGTTTTCTTATCTGGGACTAACAGTTAGCATAATGGCTATGTTGCTGGATTCCCATGTGGTCGACCACGGTTTGGGTCCTGGACCTGGTGGCTTAAATTCATGCCAGGCACATGTGCATGTGTGTCCAAGATCCCAAGAGGAGAATGGAGGAGAAGGGATTGTGGCACGGCCATCCCCCCCACCCCGGGGGGGGGATTTCTCGCTTTCTGTCTCTCTGTCTCTCTCTGTCTTCCTGGTGGGCGCATGTGCCCTGTAGCAAAAACCTCTCCCCCCCCCAATAAAAGCTTTCTTATCATTAAATGTAGTACCATAACACAGCTAATTATTGATGCTTACAATGTGAGAAAATTCATGGATTACCTAATTTAATTCTAATTATAAATTCGGAAAGCAGAAATGATTATGACTCAGAATCTTAGGAATTGAGGATTATACAGACTAAGTGATAACATTATTCCATACTATTGATAAATTTTAGCACCTGAACTAATTGCACTCTAATTCTATTTGAAAGAATATTTACTTCTATTAATTTGCTACAGGGCACACAGACTCACCAGAGAGAGACAGTGAGAGAAAGGGAGAGAAAGTTAGAAAGCAAGTCACTAGGTTTGGGACTCGAACTGCAGTCAGTCATGTGGGAGTCCAGCCCTTAAACTACAATGTCACCTGCTGCCTCCATCACTCTAATTCTTAAAATGGTTAATGTACAGAAGGAAAAACAAAAACAAAAAATCTTTAAGATGAAGAGTATCCTTTTTGCTTTTCAGTGAGTTACTTTTCCCATACGTTTCCAAGGATGATTCTAACATGAATAGAAATGAATAAGACTGCTTATTAAATTAGTAAGATTGCTCCTAGAATGTTTACAAATATTTGATTTTAAAAATGTTTTCTAACTACATAAGGATAGCACATACATACACTAGGTGGGGGTAAATAATAACCACTAGTAGGAATCTGCTAGAGGTGTATGCTTTTACTTTAAATGCCCACCTTTCCCTGAAGTATTTCTCTCCCTGTTTCCTAAAGAGTCCATTACTCAAGATGTTGTTCAAGCTAGAATCACGGAGACTGTTCTTTAACCTTTTTCTTCCTCATCCTTATGTCCCTATCCTCATTCTATTCAATTGATTAAAAAGTGGTGCACATAGTAGAAATGTTAGCACAGGATGGAATGGCTTGTCATGTTTCTGTTAATATTAGTAATAATAATCAATTGAATAGAATGAGGATAGGGACGTAAGGATGAGGAAGAAAAAAGGTTAATCAAAGTGTCTTGATTCATTTTTCTTCTCTCCATCTCCCTTCTACCATACTAGTCCAATCCAAAATAGTCTTTTGCCTAGAATACAGCAAATATCTCTTAATTGGTGCTATTGGATCTACTTCTTATCCTTTTTAATTAATTTACTAAAGGCTAGATGGATCTTTTTTTATTGCAAATACATAACGCTTTATAAGAGAAGCTATGTGTGCTTTGCAGCCTGGAGCTTTTCAGAGAACGAGTTTACCTCCTGCACATGCTCTCTTTCTTCTTCTGATTGACTCTGGATATGGCAAGTCAGCCTCCACCAGCCAGACAGCACTCAAAGGGACAGGGACCCAGAGCTGTCTACTTGAATCTCTATGTGGAGGGCAGCCTCCTGTGGACTAGAATTATTTATGTCAGGGAAAATAAACAATTATGTCTGACCAGGGTCCAGTTTCTTACCAGTTTACCTACATAATCAAGATAATCAGTTATAAACTTAAATTACTGCCAAAGCCCCCTAATCTCAGAGTTGCTTGCCTCAAAATCCTCCAGGGGTCTATTGGGTGAACACAATTTAGGAATGTCTTTATAATTGTGTACTTATTTAACCTTGTTCCATCTATCCTAGTTCTTATGTAATTTTCTTTTATCTATTCTACTTTTTAGGTATTAGCATGTTTCAATTATTCATTCCATCATTCTTTCAATTAACTTTTAATGAGTGCCTATATTTTTGGAGTAGATACAACGACTAGTTAAATAAAGTCCCTACTCTCAAGGAGCCTGTTGGT